ACAAAAGAGGCAGCTCAAAGCCAGAGAAAAAGCTAACATCAATTCACACAAGCTGTTGCACTCCGGAGCCCAAATTGCCCATGACACACCCAGAAAATTCCCTTTCTTCACAATATGACACTTCACCTCCCATCTCTCGTGGGTAGCAGTTGATCAGGAACAAATACAAGCAGGGGAGTAGAGTGTTAAGGAAGAGCGCATCGAATCAGTATATAAAAACAGTTAGGGCCATTTTCTGCTAAAAATATCCAATACCATCTTCTTACCCAGAATAAGTCTATGAAAAAAATGAAATAAAAACTGCATTTTAACTAGCACACACACATGCACCACACACACACACACATAGACAGATCCCGCAGAGCTGTTGTCAGCCTGGATTTACAAAATAAGACAAGTTGGGCTTTGCAGGCAGCCAGTGGTTGTCATCAAGACTAGGTGACTGTTAGTTGGAGCTATTTTGATGCTGTTCACATGTTATTTGCTTCACACACCCTCCTGTCACGTATTGTTCCCAACATGTCTCGCGTGCGTTCAAACGTATGTGGGAATTTTTGTGCGACTGTGTATTCATGTGTCTGCCTGATTTCCCATCATCCCAAATAATCATCCCACAGTCATGCGTGAGATGCGATTTCCGTTAAACAATAGCAGGCCGGCTCGCCTTACTGACCCACAACCTCTCAGGCTGCGGGTGAACAAGCACTCGTATGTGTGCACAACTCATCCTCTCAGCTTGAATTCACAGCAGCACATGCACTTTTGACTACACACACAGCCTCCGAAGCTCAGCCTCCATCAGGGTAGTGGTGATGACACAGTTTCTTTATGTTGATGCTCATTTAACTGCCTTCCTGAGCTGACTTTAATAACCGAGGCCAACTGCATGTCACTGCAGCAGTAGCCTTAACCACTGCATACTGGGCAAGAAGCGAACAAATACTAATGATTTTCCTGCCAAGAGGGGAAAAAAGGGAAGTTATTGTGAATGCCCCAGACCTGTCTTTAACACAAATGGTTGTAATTTTATTGAAATGAGGGACAGACTGGTTGGCCTACTTTGAGTGCCAGTGATGATTCAGCTCACACTGTTAGCCTGTCCGTCACTGTAGTAGGTAATCTGTTCAGATGTGTAGATTATAGATGAAAATGGGCAGTCATTTATGTTTTTAAAGAAACTTTAATTTCACCTTTTGGGACAACCACTCAATCCTGGGTGGTATTTGTCAGTCAGGTGTCAATCAAATACTACACTTTTTCTAACAAATTGAAGATATTGCTGAAAATGGAGCTGTCAGGCAGGAGGAAAACAGGAAGACCACAAAGAAGATCCGTGGATAGTGAAGGAGGACATCCTGAGGGTTAGTGGGGGCAGAGGAGGATTTTCAGTTCAATTCAGTTCAATAAATTTTAATTATATAGCGCCAAATCACAAGAACGGTCGCATCAGGGTACATAATACTGTAAGGTAAAGACTCTAATATATATACAATATTTCCCACCCCCCACCCCCAACAAACAGACAATCCCCTATGAGCAAGCACTTTGGTGACAATGGCAAGGAAAAACTCCCTTTTAACAGGAAGAAACCGTCGGCAGAACCAGGCTCAGGGAGGGGCAGCCATCTGCCACGACAGGGTGGGGATGAGGATGCTAGGGATCGGGTGAGATGGAAGCAGATGATCCAATGTGGAGACTTTGAAAAGGAGAGGCCAGAAAAAGAAAAAGAACACATGAGGTTTTCAATATCGCTGCATTTTACTGTTGTGGTCACACTGGAGCCAGGCTTGAGGAAAAAAAAATCAGACAAATAAAGAATGATTAAAGGTTAAGAATAAATAAAAACAAGAGTAAATAAAAACATTTTGCAAGAAATTAACCTCCAGTTTTCACCTAACTATTTGGGATATTATAAGAATGTTTGAAAAAACCCCATAAGGGAATTGTGGGGTTAATTTACACCATAATAGAATGAAGTTGCCATTGTTGAACCATGTATGAAACACTTATTTAGAAGAATGAAGGTGCAGAAAAGTCTAAATGTAATACCCCTCTGAGGTCACGGGGTCTCGGGAGGATACATTTATTTTTTAAACTTTAATCTTTTGTCTCAGACAAAAAAAAAGTCTCAAGGAATCATTTATTTAAGCTTTAATAATTCATTATGTCATCATGCTTTGTGTCGTTGTCCTCTATATTTGATAGCTGCTTAAATAAGTTGGTGCTTGTGACCTCTAAGTATCACACAAACTCAGAATCACTGTACTCCATAGTGGCAGATGACACAAAATGTCGGTGAAACTCATCCGATAATGTCTGAAAATATCTTCTTGACATTTGATTCTCTGAGCCCAGTGAAATGGCCAAAGATGTTCAGTATCTGCTGTAAGCAGGGGGTATTGGTCCTGATTAGAAGTCATGGGGTGTCACACAAAAGTGCCAGTAGCTTATCTCTAGAAGTGGAAAAATAATTTCTCTGAAGCTGTAATCCTCACTATCATGATAGGTGCTATAAATATTTATGAGAAATTATGATGACTAATTTATTAAATCATAAATTCATACAGCCTGTTAGTGTGCAGCCAACTTCAGTTATATCATAGTTTGTCACCTATCTAAAATAAATAAAATACCATATTTTGATTCTTTTTTAGTTAGTGCAATCAGGATTTTCACAGCTGAATTCCTACATTTCACCATCACAGCAGCCGCCAATAAAAGTAGGCTGGTGTGGAATCAAGCGATCCCTTGGGAAGAAAAACTGACAGGCAGACCAGAATTCACTGTTAGTTCAGACTAACCCTGCTCTAGAAACTTGTTCTTTTAAGTGTAACTTGGGAAATTATGGATAAGACTACTATGTGTCATCCCTCAGTTGATTTTTGTCGCGTGTGACCTGGCTGGCAGCAGTTAATCAGGGAGTCAGTGAGCTGAAGGGTGCAATATGCTGGATCTACAGATAAGGATCATACGGCACATCAAGCAGCCAAGGAGCAGCGAGGAGAACGTGTCCCCTCCATCATACACTTATTTCAGCTTTACAGCCATGTGACAGATGACTTTAAGGGATCATGATTTCAAATAGCGGCTCTACGGGGAAAAATCTTTTGAAAAGTCAAGATTTTAAAAATAGATATGTCAGGGAATTGTTAGTCGTCTAATTTAGTAATCTAAAAATGGAACATGAGTTGTTAGAAGATGTGTTAAGGAAGGAAGCGATGTTGGACAACTTCATATTGGAACGCGTCCCACAGACGTAACTGCGTTGTGGTGGTTTGCTCTGCCTCTGCACTGACGGCTCTTTCGGATACCAGCGTTACACATCCTCGCAGAGATGATGTCTGCTTTTTGGTGTCATCTTCTGCCAGCTATAAAGCTTTACCTGCTTGGTTTAAAGGTGCTTTTGCTTCAACTGCTAAACGGACCTTTGAGGCTGCCAGGTCGGTTTAACTTTAGCTTACGTTAGTTTGACAAGTTGTAATTCAGTTGTAAGTGACAGCACGGGCAACCAAGTTGTAACCAATGAACGTGGGTGCATTATAGTCAGCACGGGTTATCATTGTTCATTAGTACATGTAGCGGTCATTTACTATGTTGCACTTGCACATGTTAACACGATGCTAGCTATGTTAGCTAGTTTGTGTTAAGCTCAAAACATTAGCGAAAAAAATGATCATCTGTCGTCTTGTTTTTGCCGAATTCAGCCGAATAATTAACGATTGCGTAGAACATCAACGTGTCCTTTCCAAAGTTTCTACGATTGCCACCAAGCTTTGTGAGGTTAAATGTGCACTTTTCATAATGCTGTCTGGGCTAGTTCGCTCGTCGCCCAGAGACAGCGCAACTTAATTTTGTTGCAGACACCTGGTTAACTACACCAAAACTATAACCATGTTTTTATTTTAGGATTATTATTATTATTATTATTATTATTATTATTATTATTATCTTACTGAAATAAAAACTAAAAAGAGACGTCAGAAATAATCCAAACTGAAATTATATTGCTAACTTAGAAAAATAACTAGAATAATTTAAAAAAAAAAAAAAAACATTGTTTTTTAAAAAAGAATTTATTTATCTAATTTATTTTTGTTCTTTTTCAATGTGGTTAACATAAGCTCGGGAGGCACTGGTGCAATGATTTATTCAGACTGAGCTTTCTGAATGAGTTCTGAAAACTTATTGCTCTGGATAAATACTGCTCACTGCACAATAAATAAAAACTAACACTGAAACCATTAAAATTTACTTAAAACTGAACATTTTTAAAAACTCAAACTAAACTGCAAAGTGCCAGAATTGTGATACAAATCTGATGTTTTAGTGATACAGCATATGCAGACCCTTCTTTGCAGTCAGTTTCACCTAGCAAGAAACAGCAACCTCCAGAAACCACTGCCGACCAATCCAGAAATACATATTTTTCCCCAGCATCTAGTGGTTGTATCACATCCAATGTGGCAGACTCTTCCAGTCTTCTTGAAAATTGACAGGAAAGGGTATAGGAAGAACTCATGTGTTCTCTGGAATATGAACTGTAACTACATAATATATCATATGTTACTAGGGGAGTATAAGGTGAACAATATCTGCTGTCAGTTGTTTTCTGATATTTAACTCTGTTAATTTGAGTGTTATATCAGTGTTTCGTGTTTCTGATTAAAATAAATCAAAATCTGATGGCTTTCACACATTTCATAAAATGCTTTTTTTTTTTTTTTAATTTATTGAACTTTTCTTCTATTTTGCATTTAATTAAGGTCCCTTTCTGTTATTATTTTGTTGCTACTGAACCCATAAAGTAACTTTAGTAATGAAAGAAAGTAAAGAAAACTTGTTATTCAGTACAATGGAAATAAAAAGAAAAAAATTCTACAAAAAGCCCATGTGTTTTTTACTGAGTTGTCATCTATAGAAACATCAACCTGTCCTGAAGAAGCTTCCTTATCAAGTGACTTTCTCTTTGATATCTTTGTCTCCTCTTCTGCTTCTGCCAGTGATGCCCAGACAAGATGGCAACGTTGCCATAGTGACAGGAGGAGGCAGGGGAATTGGTTATGAAGTAGCTCGCCACTTGGTCAGACTTGGGGCACATGTTATCATAGGTACTGTATGAAGCACGTCAACACTGATATGCAAACAGCACAAACACACATGATTTCCCTATAGGCTGGCTTGTTCACATACATAAACATTAACTGCACAAATAGCTATAAGAGATGTGGCCTAATACTGGAGAAAGTAAGACAAAAAAAATGATGTTTCAAAAGATTCACACTCCTTTAAAAATTCTGATCGCTTTCTCTGTTGGTCCTTGATTTTTTTCATTTTGAAAATTATTTTCTTCTTTACACTTTATGAACTTTGTCAGGCCCAAAACTTGGAATACTGTATGTCACATTACATATGCCTCAGCTTTCCAGAATCTCTATTACAATGCAGGAACAAATACCCAATGTATTAACCTCTGTTAATATCTGTTAAAACATGCACCAATATCAGTTCCTTTGATAAGTGCTTTTATTTTACATATCACACAATTACACAAAAAGTACATTGTGTGTAGGGTGTGTAGCTGTGTGCAACAACAAACTGGATAGGTCCGTCTGCAGGTGGAAAAGTGCTGGCACGATAACCCTGTCTAACCACATAAGATGGTGAGAATACTGTAGTCACCGCTAAACAGACTTTAATTAGTTTTTAAATTGCTGTGCAGCACAAATGTAGGGTGAACGTAAAAGTCTAGAGCAGTGAATCCAAATGGACTCACCATTTGTTAGATTGAGGTAAGGTATGCTAATGGATGGGATGATACACATACTAGGTCCAGCTGCTGCAAATGAGCTGTCAAAGTGTCGTCACCTTGCATTCCAATCAAAAGAAGAACCGATGACAGATATGACTACAAGAGCACTTTGAAAGTTTGGTTTGCCCTTTGGTGTACTTTGGGCAACAAAAAATAGTTTGAAAATGACTGGTGTAGAGGAGGAAATGTCAGTATTTTTTAGTTGAGTCTCTGTTAATCCTGGCAAATTCTGAACAAGGCACCGCAGTGATAGCAAAGGATTATATTGACTTTTAGCAAGTACCACATATTGATTTCAGCATAACATATTCTACTGTGGACCACAAACTGCATATACATACTGAGATTGCATACATGGCTGTTGCACATGAATCAATTAGAGGCAAATATGCATGTGTGTAAGTTGAAAATATTTAAGTTTCCATCTCCAAAAGTTGATTCTGTTCATCTGGAACAGAATCAACTTTTGGGGATTTACTTTCCTGGATGATTGAGAATGCATCAAGACGATTTAAGTTTCCACAAAAAATCTGTCTCGCATTGTGTTGCAAAAGCCTCCTGGCTAATAATCTCTCACAGACTGGATTTTCTTCATTCCACAGAAAATCAGAAAAGGAGAACTAGCCAATTGTCAGCTGTGTCATTTAACTTAATTTTTATAGTGAAAAGTAGGAGACTAAGAAAAATAAGCAAATTTACAGAAAGTCTGGGTACGTTCTGAGAATATCTTAGTATTTGAGCCCAGTTAGAAGTTTGTTGTTCTCAAATGAAACTTTGCTTAACCTTTGGTCTGAAAACAGAAGGACAGACATTATGGTCAGTGTTCTGTCTTCACCATTATCCCAAAGCACCAGTGAAGCTGAATGATGAGGTGTCCATGATAACATAAAATCTATTATAGACTGATCAAACCACAGCTGTATAATACCCAAGGCATCCTCTGTTTGTCTACCTAAAAGCGTACTGTTGTCAGAAACCCTCTTGACACCTCATTGATTCATGCTAAGGGTTGGAATAGCTTCAAAACAGTTTGTTTTCATCATTAGGAAATGTGTGTGATTCTTCACTGTGAGGAGATTTAAAGACTTTCAGAGCTTCACTGGGATTAAAGGGCTGTTATCAAATTGGGTGTTAAAATGCAAATTCAAGGATTATGACAGGCCTTTTTGCATAAACAAGGTCTGCTATTGTTCCATTATTCATTTAGCTATATTTATCGTGGGAAGGTAAATGCAGTAAAACCAAATGTTAAAAAATGAAATGCTTCACGTTACAGCTTCTTTAAATGTTCTATGTAAAAATGTATTTCATGCAAAAAATACAAAAGTGAATTTGAACGTGTAGGCAAGGCAAAATATGCAAAAGAATGTAATTCCAGAAGTAGTTTGTTTAACTGAATATAGTTTAACATAACAAATGATGTGCGTTGTTCTAATTTTAGCTACCATCAAAGGTTTGGGGGAAAATACAGATAAAGGCTGTGAGATAATAGCAATTTAGAAGTCTGTGTATTTATGTGTACTCTATATAAGTAATCAATTCCAGGTTTTCTATCATGTGGCATGTCTCTTTTTTTCATTTCATGTGCCACATGTCCCATGCCACTCCTGCTCTACCTGCCTAGAACCACTTGCTAGAGCAGTGATTCCCAAATTTTTTCGCTAGGCCTCCCTTTGTTTTAGAAGAAAATCTCCCCCCCCCCACCAGACACACACACACACACACACAAACGCATCCTCCAACTACACACACATTTCAAACCTCAAACCTTTTGTAAACAATTAAACAAATACGAGAAAACTGCAATAAGTTACGGGCAGCAATAGATCAGGCTATTAACTCTTTTATGCTACGTCCACACCTACACGAGTATTTTTGATTCCCCCAGCTTTTAGCAGGTTTTTCTATGCGTTTGGGCCTTTCGTCCACGCGTAAACGGCATGAATAACTGAAATCAGAGATTTTTAAAAACTCCTGTCAGGTTGGAGATTTTCGAAAACTCTGTTTTTGCGTTCACATGTAGACGAGGAATACAGAGTTCGTCACGCAACATTTCACATCGCGCGTGCTCCCGATGCAAGGAAAACAAATTCTGCAGGGGAGACCTACCTTGGCACTTGTGCAGGTGAAGCCAAAGGGAAGATATGCTTCACCATATTTTCTAGTCTTTGGCTTGGAAGGAAGCTGGTTTGGAAACAAATTTGGTGATGCTTCATCTTCTGCTTTGCGTTTGTGTGGGAGCCCCGTCAAAAACCTCTCCATTATCTTGGCAGTGTCCAAGCATTCTTTTTAAAAAAAAAATCATACCGTGACCCCCCCACAATGGCTCTGAAGACGTTTGCACTAGTTCAGAGTTTTTCTGACTATGGAGCACAAGAAAGGCAGCTAACTCAAGTGATGAAATAGTGTTCTGTCTGAACTTAACAGACCAATTTTAAATAGTACTTTTAGGCACTTTGTTAGTAGCAGCCATTCTCATTTCTTTAATTGAAATCATGAAAAAATGCCAAAGATAATTGTTTCACAAGCATAAAACAGTATTTTTGCAACAAGGCAATTCGCAAAAAATCTTTAGCCAAAAACTTGGCATATTTTGGCATGGACTTCAATGTGTTCTTAAATAAAATGTGTAAACTGCGCAAGTTGAGGACAGATGGAAAAAATGGCAGTCCTTAAAAGGTATTTAAAGCAGATAAACTGTTTCTTAAAATCATGTCTCAAGACCTGAAACAGGAACTGAGAGATTAGTTCTTTTTCTAACTTCGCTCGGTGTTTCACTATGGGAATCGCCTCGGCGTACGAGGGGGCGGAGCCCTGAGCACGGCTCGACAGGTCTGTCATAGACAGACGTGGTGTCATTGGAGCTTCCGTAGTTGGTCATGCCGAGGCGATTCCCATAGTGAAACACCTCACTCTGTTATCAAAGAACCAGGGATTACGTTAAGTAACCCAACGTTCAGTTCATCTACTCTTTGCTGAAGCCTCATCAGAAATGGTCTCGTGGAAGGATGGCTGTCAAGAAGCAGGGAAACAGGGAGAAAAGGCTGACGTATACTAAATTACACAAAAACTACAGGACCAAAAAAACAATAAGTGAGTTTTATGGAGTATTAAATCTATATTTTACATTTTCTGATTTAAATTGTCATCAGTACATATGAAGGAGGTCAGGAGGGATGTCCAACTGTCAATGTCTACAGTTATCGGTAAAACACAGTGGAGATGCTGTTATGGTTTAAGGCTGCATTTCAGCCGTGGTGTTCGAGATCTTTTTAAAATCTATCTAATTATAAATATAGGAAAGACTTCGATCAACCATGCAGTACCATCTGGAAATAGTCAGATTAGCAGCTGCTTTATTTTTCATCATAATTATGATTGCAAACAGACTATCAATGTGGGAAACAGATATCTGCATAAATACAATGGAACACTATAAGTCATGGTTTGGAATCCAGAGCCTGGACCTCAACATTATTGAAGCAGTGTGGGAATGTCTTGACAGAATGTTATGGGGTTCGATTTCAACTCACTCTTCAAAGACTGGTCATAAATCATGAAATTATTTAGTTGAATTGGTGCTTTTTTCTTTCTTTTTTACATTTAAAACCTATATTAGGTGCCGAAGTTAAGCACATTGGAGATGCCATGCACAGAACAGCAAAATCTTCTAGGGTGAGACTACATTTTCTATTCTGTCCACGAGTTTAAAAACTTTGAAGAAAACTCTGCTTTATTCATTCAGAGTGTATAGCGCAAAGTCAATGTCAGAGTATCCTTAGAGACGGTTTGAGCAGAACATAAATTAGATGTGAGCGCCATGTGTGTGGGATTACACTCACAAAATCAATCATACCAGAACTCGGATAAGTGTCTGTTGTAGTTCCAGACAATCCTATGTGTACCGAAGTTGATCCCACAGCTGATGACTGAGTGTATCTCCATTTCAAATATGCCAATTCTTTGAGGTAATTCATGAAGTGAGAGTATTTATGGTAAAGTGGATCCCTCTCTAGTTATGTAGTGGATGCATATTTCAGGTGGAGTGGTAGCATAGTATCTGTGTGAAGACAGTTAATGGCTTAAGCCTTTGAACTGTCAAACACCGGAGTTGGGTATTAAAAGCATGCACTTGTGCTTAAAATACATTTCACTAGGTATTGGATTAAAATGATGCGGTCCAGAGCATTTTTTAAGATAAGATAATGAAATTTAAATTAATCTTTGCCATGGAAGACTTTGCTTCTTGGAAAGGTTTTTATAATTTCTTTATAGTTGGAGGAGGTGGTTGAAACGGAT